CTGGGTACAGTCGCAAAGCGGGCGCGCTTGCTGTGCCATGGGTGGCGTGCTTCGGCTACGGCCCTCCCAGTTGTGTTCGTTGCTGTCCTGTTACCGACGGGGTCAGGCAGTGCTGGGAGTGATGGCTTATGTGCTTTGACGACGAACCAGATGATTACGACCAGGACCAATGGTGGAAACAGGGACACTGCTACTGATATCAACCGGCACAGCCTGAAGAATGCGACACAACTGTGTTACAGGTACACCGACCACCTCTGCCGTAGGCCGCGTCTCGCTGATGCGTGAAGCAACGTCATCTCCAGCGACTGAAGGCATTCACGAATAAGACATGTGGGCAGCCTTCAGGCAGCTTAGTTTGCAAGATCGGTCGTAGCCTGCGACATGCGCCAAAGAAGTCACGTGTCGACGCAGGAGATTGGCGCCCCCATCGACCTTGTTCAGCAGGCCTGGTCATTGTCTCGCAAACACTCTCGACAGTCCACGCGCCCTTTGTTGCAGGTCAAGAAAACTGGCAAGCTGCCAGCAAACGCCTCGTGTAACGGGCACGGGGAGTTTAAGATTGAAGTGTGCGGAGTTGCGATCACCAGCCCAGGTTGTGAACTTCGCGGCCGGTGGGGTTGCCACTCCAGCAGATGCTGCCTTGTGCACTCTGGCGATCGTGCTACGACCCACTGGCATTTCATGTATGTCACAGTGCGCACCCAGTGTGAGGCATGCAGCTTGGTGTCGATGGCGTGTTCGTTGGAAGCCCAGGGTTTTTCTGGGGCATGCGACGAAGTGTGCAGTGGTTCAGGGCAGAACCGCCCTGCCAGGCTTGCAACGAACATAGCCATCTATGCATTTCTACCTGATTCCAATTGGTTTGATGTTCTGAGGTGGGTAGTGGCATCTTCAAGTCGTCCGATCCCGTCAAGCGTGCCCGGGCCATCGTGAAGGCGGGTTGAAGTAGAGTCAGAACGTTAGCTTGATTGCAGTTGACATCACGAAGCCAGGCCGTCACGCACTACAACGATCCTCAGGTGTGCTGGGACAGTCTGTTTTTGAGGTTTGGTCCGAGGGAACATGACGGAACAACAATGCAAGCAGGTGGTGGCCTCGATCTCGGAGGATCTGGGAGAGGCCAGACGAGCGAACACGGAAACCGGCTACACGGCTGAGTTCGGCAGAGGCGATGACGGGTATCAATTGCGATGGCCTCGCCACACGCTTTGCGGACAGGGAAGGTCGGGGCCCAAACTGGGGCCTCGGGGGCCTGGCCCAATGCTTTCTCTGTGCCAGAGTAGCAGAGTAGCGCAGGTGGCAACATGCCTTCGGCCAAGAAGGCCAGGATTGAGTCCTACGGAGACCACAAAGGCCTTGCAGGTGGGGGATGCGCAGTGTGAGCTGAGTGCGCAGAGAACGACTCGGCCCAGGCACGGCTTTCTGAGAGCCCTTGCTCCAAATGTCGACAAGTTTTCCTTCCGTGCACAACACGTGACTGTTTCATCTGCCATGGATGGTGCCCCAAACGAGGTTCCCAGTTGCTTTCCGTTTTGGGTCATATGAGGCTAGATCAGGGTCTCTGGAGGATGGCCCTGATTCCGGCCTCTGTCCGCCGGCCAAGTAGTAGCCCGGAGTCTGCTGTTCACGGAACTTATCCGTGCGAGCCCACAACACAGTTTACAAACAACTGCGCAGGTTGTCGTATTTCTTTCGTCTTGCTAGTCAGTGTAAGAGGCTCCTGATCCACCATTCAACTTTTCTCTCTACTGCAGCCCATGTCGGCGCGGTGGTGACGGTGAACGGTGACAAAAAGGCACCTGACAGAGTCTGGGCGGGGGCGCATTGAACAGCTTCTGAAGCTGCAGCTCTCGCAGCCTTGCTCGAAGCACAGATCCAAAGTCTCCGACAGTATGACGTGTCCAATTGCAGACTCCACTCAACAGGCCATTTTTCTTTGCAGAAAGCTACTTCAACGAGATCTCCTACAGCAGTACGTCAGGATACGACTTTTAACCGTTCCCATTGTTGCGATGAGGGGAAGCACATGTGACCGGTTGCTTGAATACAAGCAAGCAGTTGAAGTTGATGGATCAGGTGGCTGCAGGAGGCTTAGTGGCTGAATCTGTACCCGAATAATTAAATGGCAGTGCCTGTTGAAGCGCGAAAGTTTCAATGAAAACAGTTCCATACCGCGAATTCCACGAGCTTGAGACATGGTCGGGCATCCTGCCCACAAGCTCAATCGTTCTGTGCCTGTGCAGACAGCCCGAGGAACTCCTACGGAAGAGCTAGAGAGTAAGTGACTAAGCTAGAGTATCAAGAGTTGTAATTCACAACAGCCTTCCTGACCTGTTGCAGCTCAGTGCCCCGACCCCCTTGCAACAAAAGCTCGCGAGAGATGTCTTGAGATTCAACGGAGAGTGTAATGCAGAAAGGTGAAGTGCTCTATGGATTACTTTCAGATCTGTTAAGGCCCGATGCCTCTGGCCGAGCTCAAGGAACCTTTGGTTCTCAAAGGCGCCTTGAGGCAGGAGCATCGCTTGTGTTTCTAACCCATTGCAATTGCATGTCGCTGCTGGCTGATGATGCATGTAGCGAGTCACCTGCAGGGTAGTTCGCGGGATCTTTCTGATGTAATTCCTTGCAGAAGAAACAAAGCAGGTTCTTGGTTTCTCGCTCGTAGGGGAGTCACGTGGCTCAAGCGGACACCGCACGTGTCCATACCATCACGTTCCCGCCTGCATCCCGAGCTGTTGCTGAGAGGTGAAAGGGGCATGCAGGCACAGATTCTGCACTGTAGCGATTCCGAGGAAGCGATTACCGGACTCCACGGTCTAGTCTGATCTCCTCTGCCGTGCCACGGCTTCACGGCATCAACTACTGCAGCTTGCAAACTACAAGCGGCGGCTTGCAATGCCAAGGTCTTCCATGTCCGTCCTTTGCCAGCGAGTACTGCTGCTAGCATCGGTTGCGAGTGCTGCACAGCTGCCGCGGCTTCACCCCACTGCTGCTTCATCGCTGGGCGAGGGCACATGGTGGGCCAAGGCAATGGAGCGAAGAAAGTGTGCATAGCCCACAGCACAACAAGTGCGGATCAACGAAGCTAGGTGGGTGATCACCTTGTGCACGCTCCAGCCACAGACAGTGGCCTTAGCTCCAATGTTGGGGATTACTACTATGCCTACGGTGCGACCCCCGGCTCCTGCAAGCGTGTTAGGTCGAAAGTCAAGCCGTCTGGAGCTTCAATCTTTGGCATTTAGCAAAGTGCGTGTGCTCGCTGTCTTCGCCCAGGTTCGCATGGAGCGTTGACAGACGAACTCCACGAGAAGCGTGTCGGCGGCGCAGGCCGCTTGCACATCTTCCACCTTCCGGAGGCCCGGCCTGGCTCTGTGTTTCTAGAAGGTCGTGATTCTCTTGCTCTCCTTTCTGGCACAGGGCAAGGACTCTCTGGCCACGCAGCTGCCAAAGGTGGCTGGACGCCGGGATTCCGTCAGCGCATTGGTGCCGTGGCAGCGCCATGAGCTCCAAAAGGGAGGCAGACAGAGGAGTTCTCCTGCGAGGTGCAGCTGAGCCATCAGGACGCCGGAGCCCCGGAGCCCCGGAGCCGAGGAGCCGAGCCTTCTGCCTTTGCAGCCTAGCCTTGCCCTTCGCAGGTGCTTTCAGATGCACGGCTTTTCCCGCATCTGAGCTGCACGTGCTGGAAGCGGTTTCGGTTTCGCATCTCCATTGCTACATGTCAGGGCCTACGATGTGCCGAAGGCACGAGCATGAACTGTGCTTCAGTCTTCCCTGCGCCAGGGATGCTGTCTTGGCGTGCTGGTCCTCGGCAGGATTACAGCTCAGGCTTGTCTTCGGCTGCTGAGCGCGTGGAAAAGCAGGCGCTGCGCTCAGCCAAGTTACGATGGCCCACGGCACTACGCGGACGCCGCTGCATGGCAGAGGCAGTCGACTCCATTACGCCGAGCTCGGCCATGCGCCAGCTCAAGGAGTCGGGGGCAACGACAAGGGGCCTCAGTCACGAGCCGAAGTGAAGGAGCTGGTGGCTCTGGGCGATGGCTCCACCCAGACTCGGACGCCTGCATGCGCACTAAGATTCACTTTCACGGAAGGGCTCAGGATCCGAAGAATTGTGGACCGCCGGCCTGCATGACGGAGCGGGCTGTGGAATGTCACACTGAGGAGCTACTCCAATCCAACGGCGTCTGCCAATTCAGTTAGCTTTCTTGAGAAGAAGTTCAAGGCGCTGCAATGCCAATACTATGTTGTTCACGTCAAGCCGGGTGATGCCAGGAGATGGGCTACTCTGTGTGCAAGCAGCAGTTTGGAGAGCAAACCTCCGTGGTCGCGAGTCTTCAGGCAGCGACGACTGCGCGATGTTGCTCGAACACAGTGCTTTTGGCCAGGGCAGCGATGCCGGCGCGGGCTCCGTGACCCTCGGAGGGCACTACGACTCACGACCCTTCGAGGCCGATTGAGCTCGCTTTCAACACCACTTCATGGGAGCCGGAAGAAAGTGTGTTCACGACATGCCGATTTCGACAGGGCCTAGCACCGGGCGCTGTGGACAACGGCAGTGGTGCCGCCGCGGCGGCGCAGTCAGATCATCCGACTTGGAGGAAGATGCCCTAGACGAAACTTCAGTGCTGCGCACCCAGGTGCTCACAATTGCCAAGGCGCTGGCGGATGCCAAGGCGTGCGGGGAGTGTCTCCGTGGGGTCCGGATCATCCGGCTTGTCTGCATGGCTGCGTGTGCTCTGCGTGTCTGCGCTGCATCCGACGCCGAAATTCAGTGGCTCAGAGAGCCGATATGAGCCGATGGTCGATGGTCCGTGAAAACGGATGTCCCTCCTGGAGCAAGCTGACCGGTTTTGCCAGCGCACGGGGAGGAAGCGCTGTGTGCACCTACCTGAGGCCCGGCACGTGTTCTAGCGGAAAATGCTCCTGTAAAAGCGAGCAGACAGGAAGCTCTCGACTGGGACGAGCGTGAATGCGACTTGTGGTTTTACACGGACGGTCTCATGGCTGCCTGTACTCTTGGCTCTTGCGACCGGGCACAACTGCACATAGTTGGGAGCAGTTCAGGTGATTTCCACCCAAGAGAACCAGCTGCGGGCAACTGGCAATATTGTCGCGGCAAGGCCGTCCAGCAGAGTAAAAGAATTCCTCAACGCGTGTTTGTAAGAGCACTTGCCCATCCGGCTGTCAGCCTATCACCAAGGAAAGTCAACCTGGTCGAGTCTCAGTGATCACTGTTACTACGGGAGAGGCTTGATCTGAAAGCCAGGGTCAGGCCGTCACACAGAAAAGAACGAAAGCCTTGACCGTAGTGCACAGCTACGCGTCGATAGCTCCTCTCAGGAGAGGCATCGATTTCACGAACTGCTTTTCTGGAACTTCCAGTGTCAAGTTTGGGACGACAAGGATGGTGCATGGCTTTGTATGGAAAATACGCTTCAATGTTTTGAAGTAGTGCAGCACGAGACTGATCGGCAGGAGTTGATTGTCGTGGAGACCTACGAAGATGAGCCAAGTTCATTCTTGTCGGGCAAAGCTGCATGGAACAGCAACATGAAGGTCATCAGCCCCTCTGACCTGGCAGTCCTGTGGACGTCAGTTGTACTTTCTTTGTGTGCCCGGTGTCCGGCATCAGAGCGACTGGAGCTGATCTTTCTAAGGCTTGCAGCGGCTTCCTGACGACGACTTGTCGATTGGGGTGAAGAGGCCGAAGAGCTATTTTGAGAATGCTGAAGACTCTGACGGGTAACCCCGTGTCCGACTTAAGTGGGTGGGGCTTGAAGAAAAATCATGGGGGCTCAATGGGTCCGGTCGAGTCCGAGACGGGGGTCAGCTGATTCAGCACCGCACCGGCACTCCCATGTTGCTTTTTCAGGCGAGTGCCCACGCCTTTCTTGCCTTCTCTGACTGTTTCTAGCTTCATCCAGCTTTCGCTGGCACTTCCTCACTGAAAAAGCGGTGTTTTGCAGGAGGCTCCAAAGTGCATTGCTGGACGGAGAATTCGAGAATGGCCCCGATACACAGAAAGATACGACATACGGCGACACGGATCCCTCCGCCTCAGCTGCGGTGTCGCAATATCGGATCTCCACAAAAGGCCAGTTTGGAGTTGTGACGAGTGCGAGTGGCAGCGTCGGCACGTCCCGCCTCAGCTCGGACTTGGGACTTGGCTTGGACTTGGGCTCGCGGCTGGGTTTCGACAGATGCTGACAGGAGTTCTTAGCCCTTTTCCAATACCTTGGGCCCACTGAGCATCGTTTTTGTCGAGCTCGGAAAACCCGTCGCCTCAGCTCAGAGCCTCAGCTCAAGGAGGTTCTTCTAGCTGTGTCTGGCCTTATGCGGCTCTCTGCCGCTTTCTCCTCACTCACCCCTCTTTGTTCCTCGCTAAGTCCCGCCGGTGACAGTTCGGCATGTGTTTTTTGATTATGACATGAGCGCAAAACCCGGGGCCAGCTCTCCAGATCTCGCGAGCCTTTCAATGGACATCTTGCGATGCCTGAAATCTGGCAGGTGGAAGTAGGAGCTGTGGAGATTGTGTTATGCGACCAGCGAAGTCCCGGAAGTGAGTGCCAGGAATATTGGTATTCATGCTGCAAGCGGTGAGCTTGTGGCCCACCTCGATGACGATGACCTCTATGCTCCAGGCAGCCTGCTCTTTTGGACGTGGCATTATCCGAACTGCACTGCGGGTGTCTCAGGATATTTGGCGTTCATGGCAACGAGGCCCGTGCAGCTACGACCGGAGAGAGCGGTGCGCTTCACTCTTGGCACTTGGCAGGATGTCCCACTTTGATGGTGCATCGGCTCTGAAGCTCTCGAGTTGGTACGTTGGAAATGCCGAGGCTCAGGAGTGCAAAAAGGTCCCCCATTTCATGAGTTTCACGGCAGGGCTGCGTGCTGTGAAGGCTGGCGCCTTCGGATTTTGTGATGCCGCTCGGCTTGGGCGCAAGCGTCCAGGGCTCGGATGGCCCGCACTTGCCTTGGCCAGATTTCACCACGACATACAGACATTTCCGATCCACCAGGTCACATGAGCAGAAAAACACCTGCTGTCAAGATGGGGCTCTATTCGCAAGGGCCCGAGCACTTGACACGTGGCCCGCATGTTTGTTGTTGTCGCCGGATTTTTCAGTCACGACTCCTCGACGGAAAGAGCATGGACTATCGTGAACCCAGCAAATTTCAGTGCGTTTGTCGGCGCCCCTGGCAGCAGAAACACTGTTCGAACAAGTTCGCACAGAGACCCCTTCGGCGATGAAGCGCTCACAATTCTCACCACGATTGTTTGTGCCCCCCTCGCGTGTGGACAAGCTGATTAGAGACTGCTGACGGATTCTTCACGTCGGCTGGCAACAGCGGAAATCGATGTCAACGTGCCTGCAAACTCTTCTCTTCCCGAGCCATCTTGTGGCTGCCGCAGAGCGGCTAAGGCAGAAGCAAGACAGTGATGGTACATTCCTGGAGCCCAGCGACCTGAGGTTTGGCTTCACGCTGATCTACAATAGGGAGATCGCCCTGAAGCATCCCTTTCAAGACAAAAACCTCGGGGAAGACTACGACTGGTGCATGGAGTTGATGGACCGCGGGCTTTTGATCGGCTGCTGCTTCCCTTTATCCAGTTTTTGTCTGCCGGGAGCTCGTGCTCCTGCAAGTGCAAGGAGCAACGTGGTACTCGCAGCATTGCCCTCATGTCCCCTAGCTGCATGTGGTTCAACACAGCAGATTCTGTGCATGCTTCGACCCTCAGGCCTGATGAGTTCGGAGTGTGTCTGCACGTGCAGACTCTTGGACTGGGCTGAAATTCCGGCGTCCAATACCTCGCGAGATGCTTGTCAGACTACAACTTAGGCATGGCGAAAATGTGTCAGATGTGGATCCTTTCGTCTACACAGATGTGCCATTGAGCGAAATTCGTGCCCTCAGAGTCGTTGCCACTTGGCTTGAGCAGTGCAATGGACGCTGAGTTTCGTGGCTTGAAACACATCTCGATGCTAGGACTCTCCCGGCTTCCCCAGCTTTGTAAAGCTCGCAGAGCTTGTAGCTCGGGTCGACGAAGCCCGGAAAGGAGGCGGGGTACGTGAACAAGGTTTCTCGAGTTGCTCTGCATGCGCCAACATATTCCTTCTTAAGGTGCGCTTCCTCCAAAGCTGGCCAAAGAAGCTCGCGACGCAGGCATCATCAGTGATAATGACTCCTGGCAGAAGTGCACGTCGGTGGACTCCACAATGAAAGTGAGGCTCGTCACCATGTTGCTTGCACACGGGCTCAGGACGACGCAGAGGGTGAGATCATGTGACGCCCGTTAGCGGTTCTAGCATCCGACTTTTGGGGCGCGACACCTTCGGAGCGGATGAATCTTCCCTGTGCATGACGCTGATCATGCGGGCTTACAAAGAGCGACCAGCTCCTGGTGCGACGATGGCAGTGTCTTTGTTCTGACTTCTAATAGCGGATAGCAGCTTCTCGCTGCAGAGCCAGGTCAAGCCTCAAAAGAGCATTTTCTTCGCAGCTTTCGCTGCAGAAGAGCCTGGGCTGCTTGGCTCCGAGGAGCCTCGTGTGAAGCTGCCCGAACACAAGGCCCTGCCAGCCCGGCAGGAGTATGCCAATCGTCTCATGAAGTCGTCAGCAGGCACCAGCTTCGCAGAGGCCACTGCGAGCCATCACACAGTTTGGAGCGGCACCTCTGCGCTTTCAGGCCGGCTCGAACTTCAGCCAGCAACTGTTCACCAGGCACCCTGTGACACTGCAAACTGGTTGAGCAAGGACATGCTTGTGACGCTTGCGATGCCGAGTTGCCAAGGCTTTGCGGCGAGGAGCCGGCCTCTTCTTTCTTAGAGGCTGAGTGGTTCCGCGGATGATCTGTACTCTGCAGTTTCTTGAGCATGTTGTTCGAAGGCCAACACTCGGGGGAAGGGTTCCCGAAACAAGGCCAAGCATCAGGCCGTGGAGTGCAATGTTCGCGTTTAGCTTGCCACGGCTCTTTGAACGAATGACTGCCCTCATTGCATCATCGTTTTCGTTCAGGCCCTCGTCATGGATGAGATTGCATGGCGCAGCACGAACATAAAAGCGAGCACAGGTGGCGGTTTTTGCGTCCGGAACCGAAACATGATCGAGTGCTGAAATGTGCTGTGCACAGGCCCGGTGGTCAATCTTGAGCTACCCGCACGCATTGGATGCATTGTGGGCCTCCTTTTTGTCTCGGGTGGTGTCTGATCAGCATGCCGGCGCAATCTGACACTACTTGCAATGGAAGATGCCAGCTGGGCTTCGATACGAGGTCGTATGATTGGGCTAAAGATGTGCTGGACCACCTCGCGGGTGCCAGCCAGGCACACAATGGAAAGAGCTTAAAAGTAACGTCGCTCGGACGCCAAAGAAACCCGCCTTGCTCCACTTTGAAAACTTGCGAAGTTTGTGGTCTCGATAAGCCAGATACTTTATCGCATGCGCCAGATGATGCGCCGAGGCACAGTAACAATCCCTTCGGATCTGATCACATCAGTTTCTTGCAGAAGGGTATCCACAGCGCAGCTTGCCTGCATCTCGCGTTGAGTGCACTTTTGCAGCTTGGTAGTCCGTGTGCTTCTCCGACGCAACCACACGAAGGTTCTTTCTATCCATGGGGATGACGAGGGCTACCCCCACTACCACCAGTCTGCAGATAACTTAGATCAGGCACCTTCTCAGTGTTTGGTTTTCGCAGACTTCACAACCCTGTTGAGAGAACGCGGCAACTGCAGCAGGTGGACCCCTCGCTTTACGCCATGATCACCAAGATGAATGCCGGTGCTGCGCCAAGACAACATTCGAACTAGGTAGCTGTTGAGCTCGACTCGCCTGCAGGTGCCCTCCTCCGCCTTGCCGGCATTGATGCATGAGCGATGAAGTCCGAGATTTGATTGCGTTTCACTTGTGCAGCATGTGCAACTCGGCTGGCATGCAAAGTAAGTCTGTCAAACTCGCTCTGAACTGCCGACCGGCTGCCCTGACCATGCGGAAAGTGAGCGTCAGTCATAGGGCATTGCAGATAGTGGATTTTGTTAGCAGCCGGTCCACCAAAGACATACCCTGAAATGGCGCGGCACTCAGCGAGTAAACCAGGTGCTAAACATGTAATAAATCATGGAACGTCCCGTGTAACGTGCAGCTCACTTTCTGCAACAATGCACGACAGTATTGAGCACAGATCATGAGTGCTCAAACAGTGATGCCGTGCTTGCCGATGGTTCACTGTCGATAAGTGGGATCCTAGCCGTTCCCGGAGTCAAGGTGTTTGCTGAGGCACTTGGTGTAAGGGCGTGCAGCCACCGCACCAAGTCTTGTCCATAGTCTGACCCCATGAAGCACATGGAAAGCAAGAGCTTTCGGAGTTGCCAACTTATCAGACTTGCCATCTGGAAATCTGTGCCTTCTCGAGAGCCAGGGCGTGCACGTGGCCATCGCTGCGTTGGGCCAATCTGCAGGTTCGGACATTGCTTCTCAGAGTTTCAAGAGGCTGCCCAGCTGTGCGCTATCGAAGCAGTGCCGTTTGCAGAGAAGCAGGCCTTGAAGAAGGAGCTTGACGCTCGGATTCGAGAGCCGTCCCATCGCGTCGTGAGCAGCGAAGCATCGCGAAGCATGGCGAAGGCATGGAGATTCTTTGGTCTCTGTGCGACTTGGCCCACGCTCCTGGGAGTCGGCCTTGGAAATTTGCGGGGCAATCCTTGGCGGCGGAGCCCTAGCTAGCCCAAGGTGCAAAGAACACCTTGGGAGGCAACTGGCCATGTCTGCACAGTTTTGTGAATTCGTTCTTTGCATCTGCTCGAATGGACAGGGCCAATGCGAGCGTGTTTCTGGTATCCGGCTGGCTGATTTCTGCTCCTGGCTCAGCGGGGAGGTGGGGACTGCGGGACTGCACGGGAGCGAGAGTTGAGCAGAGCATGGATGACTGCCTTCACTTCTTCCTGTCGCTTTCTTTCCAGGACGTGGCCTCCATTCCCTTCCCGCAGGCCTCGTCGTGGGGTGTGCTGCTCAGGCCAAGGCTGTCAGAATTTGTTTCTGGCTTCGTCACCGAGGTTACTGCGGTTATCAGCACTTTGAGGCTCTCTTAAAGGCTGTGCCGGTTGATTTGGGAACGAGTCCCGCCACGAAGGCGCTCTTCAAAGACCTGAAAGACTGCAATCGCGCTTCTGCAGACTTTAGTCAGCTGCTGACACAGGACTCACCGTCTTCAGCCGCACGTGTAAACTTCGGAACATGTGCGCACAACCTTGTTCCCTTTATGATTCTACTTTTTTGCGTGTTCAATTTTCGGGGTGTGCTGTTTTCAGGATTCTGGATTTTGGCTGGAGGTTTAAACCTAGCGGTGGAGCTTTCGTCCGACTACTGAGATTTAGCACCCCTCCAGCCTGGTAATCTCAAGATCTCAACACCAAGACCCCGCCCCCAATACTCTAACATCTACCTCGGTGCCACCGCTCAGAATATGCGAAGGAGGTCTCATAGAATCTCTGTAGGTTGTGAGGTTGGGGTTTAGTGGTGCGACCCTGGTGTAAACATATTACATAATTTTTCATGTGTTTTACTAATCTCATGCTTATGTGGTTACCGGTCCCAGTCGTCAAGGTTTCATAAAAAGGCTCTGACCCCCGATCTGGGCAGTAAAGCAGAACGGCAAGCATTACACCAGTCGTGTTATTTTTCTGTTTATGTCTAAAATCTTATCATCTATGGCGCTGAGCTTGTTTGGATTTCTTGGCTTCGCAATTACAAGCAGGCCAATGGATGATGCTGCAGCGGTGCGGTCTCCATTTCAGGATTTTCTCAGGATTCTGGGCTCTTTATTGGTGAATTGTCTTCAGTTTGGTCCTTGTTACGCACATTACATGTTTTCCATTTTTGAACCAAAAACCAAGAACTAAAATGGTAAAAAGCTTCTGCACATTGCAATGATCACTGCAACATTTTCCTTAATGCATAATAACATAGATGTCACGTGTTTAGGTGTGTTTCTCGCCAATCTTTCAACCCCACAGGAACTGCATCCATTTCCCTCGCTTCATCCAAGGCTTACAACTGCAGCAGCCCACCCCTGCTCTCAAGTCAGAGTCAAACGAGGTTGTGGTTCCATCTTGCGTTGAATTTCATGTGCTTACAAAGGGGAACGCCTAGACAGTCCAATGGTCCACAAGGTTGGCAAGGACACTGGCTGCCGGAGTCGTTGGAAAAATTGGAAGCTCTACGGAGCGCCGACGCTTGGGGGACTGACTGGGGAAGCGTTTCATCGGGGCCTTTGGACCTAGCCGTGTGTTTCTTCCAAGGAACGCTGCGCAGCTGGAATTCACTCCGCAGACCTCCCCAAATAGACAGCTCCTGCTTGAAGTCTAATTCATTCAACCCTCCGCATTCCCCAACACCAAGTCGACCACTTCCCTTCAAAAACATGCGAAAGTCTCAAGGTTAAGCTCTGATGGCCAAAGGTTAGCGTACAGATCCGAGACAGAAAAGCAAAGCCCCGCTCGAGGCTGCACATGGCTGAGCAGCAGGGCGGACACTGTGAACATGCTGGGCCGGGACATCTGACTACACATCGTTTGCAGTAGTATGTTGTTCACTGCGTCGAAAAACTGAACAGCACTATGTCGCTGGCAGGACAACCGTTCCCGTGTGAAGAGGCAGTTTGGCTCCTTGTCGAACTGTGCTTTCAGAGTCTTGCTTCGGCAGGAACGCAAGCCTAAACGAGAACGCCGAAAGCTGTGGCAGCGGAAATACAAGCAACTGAAGAAGGCGAGGGCAAGTCTGAATGAGGCGCAGCAAGAGATCCCCGTTCTTCATGCACTCAGGAACAGAATGCCAGGAAGCGTGAGCGGATTTCGTGTGAGTTGGACAGGCTCCGAGCCCTTTGATGCCGTTGAGTACTGCCCATAAAGAGATGTGGGATGTGCGATACACCCATGACAGCATAGAATGGCCAGTTTTTTGCATGTGAAGCCGCCTCTGTTGTTTGTCCAGAGTCTTGATGTGAATGAGAATGCTCGGGCACTTTGGCCAGACGTGGATTCTTTCCTGGCCCGAGCACCAGAAGTTATTGAAAACGGGATCGGGATAGAAACTTCCTCAGCATGCGTGTTGTCCCTTTGTTGATCGTGATCGTCTTGGCGGCTGCCACGCGTCAAAATCATCCCAAAGGTGCCGGAGCAAAGGATCTTGTCTGATTACCATGTTGGCCCTTGTCTCATGTCGTCTTTCCAGGTCCGAAGCAAACGCCTTCTTCGAAGAAGCGCTCGCAGCAAGCTTCCTCAACATCCAGCGCCGAAGCAGCAGTTCATCGCAGACAT